CTATAATTGGCGCCTATGTCCCACAGCAAAGACAGGGTGCTGGACTGGGTGGGGCCCCGTCGGTCTGATCCGGCAGGCTCTTCTCATGTTCTTGTGGACCCTAATTGGGAAACCAGGAATGGAAGAACTTGGAAAGTTGGGGGCTGCCATCTCCCATATTTTGGGGGGGAATACTTCGTTCCTCTTTCCTCCTGTTAACCCAAACATTTAAATGTTGCTTCGGGCCCAGTCTGTTTCCAGGGACGGAGGGGCGAGAGGCTTTGCACTTGCTTTCTGTTCCACGTTTTCTCTTTCGGTTCTGCTTTCCGACACGGGAGGATTGAGCCGCAAAACGCTGAGCCCTTCCTTGCATGTTTTGAGGAAGCCGGCTGGTTTTAATTTAACCTCAGCACCACCAGGAAGCTGGCAAGAAGATCTCTAAACCCCCAGCCAGCTTTTTGCCTAAGACAGTAAGAGACCATCCGTCTGATGGTGGTCTGAGGACTCTCCTTCCTTGGAGGGTCTTAAGGGGCAGGAATAACCATACTTTAGAGGTCCTGGGCCCTAAGGAAGTCAGACTATCCTCCACCAGGGCCAGGGCCTTCTCAGTGGTGGCTCCGACCTGGTGGAATGCTCTGTCCCAGGAGACCCTGCAGGATTTCACTTCCTTCCTCAGGGCCTGTAAGACAGAGCTATTCCACCTGGCCTTTAATTTGAATTCAGCCTGATCTTTTATTCCCCTTCCTTCCCTCCCCTCCCCTCCCCGCTGCCCCAGGGATCCCACAGCTAATTATCCCCTGGTCTCCTCGCTGGCCCAAATAGGACTAATTTAGCCAGCTAGCCCTGGTGATCATCTAATGTTTATTGGATGGATTTTCCCCCTAAATTGATTTTTGAATTCTGAATTGATTGTTATTCACATTTTATACTGTTTTTTGTTGCATCAATTAAGTGTTTTAAACTTTGTTGTTAGCCGCCCTGAGCCCGGTTTTCTGAACCGGGAAGGACAGGGTATAAATAAACATTTATTTATTATTATTAGAGCAGAGGTTGGGTGGGCATCCGCCAGGGATTCCTGAGCTGCGATTCCTGCCTTGCAGGGGGTTGGACTAGATGTCCCTGGGGGTCCCTTCTGGTTCTAAGAACAGGGTCTCTGCTTGGCAGGTGCAAGTGGCCCGGCGGCCCTGGATCTACACGGATGAGAACGGGCAGGACCAGATTGGCGGCTTTGTGAAGGAGTACACCAACATCTCCTTCCTCACTGTCAAGGTAAGTGGTCCAGGTGTGTCTGTGGCTGGACCCCCGGCCAGGGCATCCTTTCTGCCCCCTGGAAACCCTCGGCCACCCCAACCCCCTCTTCCTTTCTCCTTTCTCCTTCTGCGATGGAACTCCTTTTTGGGGACTTCCCTGGCTTTTTTCTGGCTCATGTAGGACCAGTCTGGATAGTTGGCCTTGGTGAAGACTTGACGTTTTCGTCCCCAAAAGTTTTTGATTGAGTTTGCACTGAAACGAGGCTGCATTTTAATATTTTAATGTTGATCTTGTTTTTTAAGCTGAATTTCAATCAATTGTTTTTATATTGGGTGTTAGCTGCCCTGAGCCTGTTCTTGGCTGGGGAGGTGGGGTATAAATAAAAATGTATTGTTATTATTATTATTATTTATAACCCTGCCATGTTCTCCGATCTCCGACCCACAGGGAGCAGGTCACATGGTGCCTTCGGACCGCCCAAGACCCGCCTTCAACATGTTCCAGCGCTTCATCACGGGGCAGCCCTTCTAGCCCTCGCCTCGTGGCGCCCTCTTCCGCCTCCGAGGGGAACTGCGTCCTCCGTGCGCCCGCACCCCCTGTGCCAAGGTGGCAGCTGGGACCTCCCGCAGGGCCGCTTGCCCCCCTGTTGCCAGGCGCTGGGGAGGCACAAGGACTCTCCCGACCCTCCGCCCTGCCAGCCGCTCTCCTGGGCTTCCAGGCTGCCCTGGGGGTTGGGGTGGGGTCCGCCGGGCCCCCTCTTCCTCCTCTCCTCCTGGGGCAGCCCTCCCCTCCCTCCCCAGCACTGCCTGTGGGGGTTTTGCACTGCCTTTGGGGAGCAGGGTGAGACCTGCCGCCCTCTCCCCCCTTGCACCCCTAACGGGACCACCTCTCTCAGCCTTAGTTCTCGGTCAGTCTTGACGAAGGGATCTGAATCACTGGTGAAAGAAAAGCCACTCCTGGGCTGCAGCCACGTCTCTGGGCCGGGGCCCACGATTAAAACTTATTTTTCTAAGGGGACTGGAGTTTTGCGTCTGTCTCTGGAGGCACCTGAGGGGGGGGGGCTCACCTGGCTCTGCATCTTTTCTCCCTCTTTCCTCCCCCTCTTGCTATCCTTTGTGTTTTGGGAGGAGGGATGGGGGCTAGATGACCCCTTCTCTTCCCTGCCCCAAATGGCAGATCCTGGGAGGGGGGGGGGGAGTGATTGATGGCTGCCAGCAATGATAGCCAAGCCCCTTCCCCACAGCTTCAGCCAGCAATGCTTCTGTGTACCGCTTGCTCGAAACCAAAGGAAGGGAGATTTCTCTTGTGGCCTGCGGATCCTGCTTTGTGGGTTTCCGACAGGCCTCTGTGGCAATGCTGTTTTTAAATGGCCTTAGTCGAAAACGCAACAGGAGGAAGCGCATTCGCCTGCTTTCTCTCCCTTCCCCTCCTGCTCCTTGGCCATTTCTAGATGCTGGAGGAGGTGATGACTCAGCCGAGGCTCATTATGGGATGGCTTTTGTAGTGGGGGGCAGGTTGGGCCCATTTCCCCTGAGCTCTGGCTCCCAGGCAGCCACCCGGCTCCCGAACTTTGCCTTCCAAGAGCTGCCTTGGGTGGGGCTGACATGCTCAAGCCTGCATCTCGGCAGAGGTGGCTGCAGGTGTGTCTTTTACCTGGCGGGGGGGCGGAGCATTCGCACCAGCTACCTGTGTCTCCCAATCTCACCTGTCCACAAGCCCTGGAAGATGCCTGGCATCCTGAATCCAATGCGCTGAATCTGCCTGCCTTCTGGCTTTGTCCTCTCAACACATTTTGGGGTCGTTCACCAAATGTTGAAGCTCAGAAACGAAACAGCTTCATATTTTAGTCACACATCAAAAGTCTTCCACTAGATGTCTAAGGCCATTGTAACAGCATGAAGAAGGAAGTGAATCTCTAAATTGTTGGGGCCGCCACTGCTATATTTAACCTACTAGTTGTGCCATAGAATCATAGAACTGTAGAATTAGGAGGGGACTCCTAAGGGTCATCTAATCCAGCCCCCCTGCAACATGGGGAACTCTGCTAAAGAAGCCCTGACAGTCCCCCAGTGAAGGAGAGACCACCTCCTTCCCAGAGAGTCTGGTCCACTGTTGAACAGCTCCTGCCGTCAGAAAGTTCATCCTGATGTTTAGCCAGAATCTCCTTTCTTGTAACTTGAATCCATTGGTAAGTGAGTGACATTACATTTGCAGAAATCACCCGTTTCTGCAAGCAAGCCATAACGATGCAGAATTCCCAAGCGTCTAAACTCAGAAATGCTTGTTTATTCCCCATTAAATCACAGCTCAGTGCAGGCCCACTTCCTCCTGTGGAGCGAGGAGAGTCTGCCCTGGGTGGGGCCAGGAGAGGCCCTGCGGCAGAAGAGATCCGGCGTTCGTAAGGTCTAAAGTGCCCCTGCTGCCGGCCTGGGTCAGCGGCTGAGCTCGATGCCCCATTGTCTGACTTGGCACAAAGCAGGTTCCTGTGGCTCCCTTGACAGCAATAAAGCCCATGGAGACTGGACTGTCACAGCCCCAAGTAACCAAGCCAGGATTAATGAGGAAGGGGATTTAAAAATAAGCAGCCGGCGTTATGCCCTTGGAAGCAGCAGCCTTCCCCTTGCCAGTCTTCTGGGCTACGACCCCCGGTGTCCCTGACCCCCCCTTGATGGGTCAGGTGGGGATGGCAGCCCAGCATATTGGGGGGGGGGTTGCCAGGCTGGTATATAAGGTCTGGGCACACAGAGGGGCTCCTCTGCAGCTCTGAAAAAGGAATCCCATCTGCCCAAGTAGACCAGGATTTGGATTCGAAGACCTGTTCGTGTAAGGAAGTTTATGGAAGAAAACCTGTCTTCCCATCCCAGGAGAAGTCCCTCTCCCACTTCCATAGAGGCTTTTTATTGGGGGGGGGGGTCACGTGACTGAAGAAGGGGCTGGGACACGATCTTCCTGCAAACATGCAAGGTTACCTTGCCTTAGATCTACAATTGGTACGCACCTCGAACACCCCTTGAGGGCCAAAGTGGCTTTTCAGATTGGAAAGGTGGGAGCCTTTGGAGAAAATGCCATAAATGATTAGGGTCTGTTACTAAATGTTTTAATTAAGTGCAGCTGCAAAGAGAGAGGGCTGGATCTGCTGCTGCTCTGAAACTCCTTCTCAGGTGGCCTTGGGGAAGCCACATTTGCTCAGGCTCACTGCCCCATCTGTAGTATGGAGATCATGTTACTGGCCTACCTTCTAGGGTCGTCGTAACTTGCACCATGATGGTGTGGATGCAGGTGATGCGCTGGGCTGCACAGGTGCCAAGTGGGTAGCAGTTGTTACAGGCCTGTGGGCATGGAGTGGGGCACTGCTTGCCCCTCCACTGTGGACTGATTTTCTCCCCTGCATATCGGCCCACATAGGGAAATAATAAGGGCTATCCATCTCAGTGGCTTTGCCTTTCCAAAGAGGGGAATTCAACCCCCCAGGATGTTGCCACACTGTTTGGGCCAGAGTGCCTGCTCTGTGGCAAAGCCCCCCTCGAGGTCTGGCGCCTTCCTGGCAGAAGCTGTCCCTTGGTGCAAGGCCCTCAGCAATCCTGGGCTGAGCCACAGAGCGGGCAAAGCACCTCCGCAGACTGGCACACTGGGAATGGAGCAGCCCCGTCCCCACAGAAGACAGCAGGCAGGTGTCCAAAGATGAGTGGTTTTGACCTGTTTTATTGGATCAGGTTCCCAAAGCAGCAGCAGCTGCTGCCGCCGCCTTGTCCTGCCTTGCTGGTGATGATGCTGCCTGCTTGGTCCTGTCGTGAGCTGGCGGAGGGCAAACCAGGGCAGGCAGGAGCTCTGCCCTTCAGAGGGGGGGAGGCCAGAGGAGGGGCTGCTGGTGGAGCCCCTCAGGCAGCCACGGAGGTCGGCGGTGGGCCCTGCGGGGTCCTGTACTTCTCCACCACCTCTCTCAGGCCTTTGGAGAAATGGAGGTCTGCGCCAATGGTCAGGTAGCCCTGCGAAGGAAGCAGAGAGAGAGGTGGGCAAAGTTGGGGCAGGATTGGCGCTTCGGCTGCTGCCACTTCCCAGGGGAGGGAAGACTGGAGCTCCTGGAAAGGGGAGGTGGAGGCGGTGGCAGCAGCAGCACGGCCGCATCCTGCCAGAGAAGCTGGACTCTTGCTCTTTTTGCAAAAGGAGGCTCTAAAGTGCATGGCGGATAAAGGCTGTTGAGGACTGTGAGGCAGCTGGCTCTGCCTCTGTGGTTGGAAACAGTGAATGCTTCCGGAAGCCCCAAGAGGGGAGGGCTCAGATCCGGCTTATATCCTTATGCCTACCTTGTGGTAGGTGACCACTTCCTTCGTGAAATCCATGCCTTCGGGGAGTGGGATCTGCACCCCCTTCTTGGTTCTCTCTGCAAGAAAAGGAAAAGAAAGAGTTGAGGCAAGACTTGTGGAGGAGAGGGCTCTTGGGGGCCACTAGCCGCTGGTGCAGGAATTGATGTATAGGTTGGGGGGGGGTTGCCCCTCCAGCAGATATCATGCACATGCAGCCCACTACCAAAACCAGCACAATCACTTTGTGACTTTTGTGATTTGTCCCCACAAAACACTTCATCACAGTTTCTTCCTATTCAAAGGGCCTCTGCTGCACAATACCAAAAGTGAGAATTCACTGATCAATGTATCTATGCACTGGCTCACTGGGAAAACTTCAGAAATTCATATAGACAAGTGAGCTCAGCTCCTCAGCAGCCCCTCTGCCTGAGGGATAATCCCTGGCACCCTGATACCTGAGGGCCAGACAGGTAGCCATGTCAGAAATAACAAACCCAGATGAAGACAAAAGGGTGGGATTGACTTGGCTGGGAAACAGGGAAATGTAAATATCTTTTTTGTTACACTTGATGGGTGTTTGGTGGAGGGAAAGGGGAACCATGGGGCAGGGTCCAAGATGCCCAGATTACTGCCCCCAGACCTCCCCTTTTATGATGTAACCATGATGTATGAGTGATGTAGTTTGGGGGGAGTGTAACATGGGGATTAAAAAGGTAAAGGGACCCCTGACCATTAGGTCCAGTCGTGGCCGACTGGGGTTGCGGCGCTCATCTCGCTTTACTGGCTGAGGGAGCTGGCGTCCAGCTTCCGGGTCATGTGGCCAGCATGACTAAGCCGCTTCCGGCGAACCAGAGCAGCGCACAGAAACACCATTTACCTTCCCGCCAGAGTGGTACCTATTTATCTACTTGCACTTTGATGTGCTTTCGAACTGCTAGGTTGGCAGGAGCAGGGACCGAGCAACGGGAGCTCACCCTCTCGCGGGGATTCCAACCGCAGACCTTCTGATTGGCAAGTCCTAGGCTCTGTGGTTTAACCCACAGCACCACCTGCGTCCCACAACATGGAGATTAGCAGCTAATAAAAGTTTGGGGGCTCTTTTGTTGGGGGCTTCCATCTTGTTCCACCTGGTGGCAGGTGGGAGTCCTGTCGCAACAGTCTTCAATCAAGACCAAGCCTACTGGCTGCTGTTTTGCTCTGGTCTTCCTGGCTGGGGTCCTTGTTTTTTGTCCAAGGGAGCCCTCAGATTTCTCCAGTGTGCAATGGCTCTTCTCTGTCTCCACCAGTTGGGGGTAGCAATGCTTCTGAAATACCAGTTGAACCCAGGGAGCCAAGGAACTGTTACTGGCTTTGCGCTGAAGGACTGGCCTTTGAGATGTCTCTGGGCTCCCAGAGGCCCCTGTGGCCAAAAGTGACGGGGGGACTTGCCACCCAGCTGCAATTGGGGGGGGGGCAGAGAGTGACCACACGGATGCTGAGCATTGTGTGCCCCCCCCACTGCCCCAGTTCAACAGAGAAGAGAGGGAAGCTCTCGTTCTTGGCTGCGGTGGCCAGGCTGAGTCAGAAGTAGGTCCAGGGCCTCTGCACAAGGACGTTTCTCCTTTTCCCAGGCGCAGAGGCGTGCGACGCCTCCAGGCCTCTTACCGTTGATGATGGGCATGATGGTCAGCTGCAGCAGAGTCTTCAGAGGCCCTTGCAGAGGGATCAGCTGGGGAGGGAGGGAAAGAGTGAGCCAGAGAAGAATCGTGGGGTCAGAAGGTACCCCAAAGGTCCTCTAGCCCAACCCCTACAACGCAGAAATCGCCAGGTTCCTGACAGGTGGTCACCCGGCCTCTGCTTAAACAGCCCCAGTGGAGGAGAGCCAGCAGCCTCAGTTTCCCCTCTGGCTCTTCAGGATGGCAGGAGCAGGGAGCTCTTTCCAGGTGCTTTTGGGGGGAGACACAGGAAACGGAGCCCCAGCACTCCTGGGCACTCAGCAAGGCATGGGAGGCGACCCCCATTCTGAGCTGCAGCCCTGCCTTGCCTCTCCCAGGTCCCTTCCCAGCACTTACGGCCAGGGATTCCAGCGCCGACTGGTTGGAGTAGATCCGGAACCTGAACAAGGCAAAGAGAGAGGAAGAAGTGAGTGACAGCCGTCCGTACTGGGCCATGGCTGCCCCTTCTCCCCATCCTGCGACTCTTCCAGTACCTTCTCAGGTCCATCAGCACCTGCAAAGCTTTCTTGCGCAGAAGCACCTTTGCGCTCAGCCGAGCTTCCTGGAAAGGAGACGAGGGGCAGGTCAGTTTCTCTTTTTTTCTTTTTAAAAAAGTTTTTTATTGGTTATTTTCACATAACAAATTATTTCAACAATTGTATTTTCCCCCCATTTCCCCCCCTCACATGCCCCCCCAACTTCCCTCAGTTCCTCTTTCTGATTTATTTGCATATATTGTTCTCTGCATGTTACAAATGTGTAAGAATCTCTAAATTTTCCACCTATTTTGTTAACAAATAAATTGTGCATGTTTCTTCAAAACCTGCCAAGGAGTCCAAAAGGGGCAGGTCAATTCAAAGGAGGCTGACATCCTGCCTGAGATGGGGGCGACAGCCACCCTTTGGCTTTCCAACAGAGACAGAAGCAGCACTTGGAGGCCAAGAACTGTCACGGCCTCCTAGAAGAGCTCTTTGACCAGGAACTGGGACCTTCAGGGCCCTAATCCTATGACAACAGACCCTCCCCAACAGCACTGCTCCCAGTCCTTCCTCCCAGCCTTTGGGGCTCCAGAGTTACGCTCTTCTACAGGCAAGGAGCTTGCTGTGGAAACAGCTGCAGGTGACTCAGGTGAACCGCGCCACAAGGACAAGGAGATGGAGGAGGAGGAGGAATAGTAGAATTGCCAAGTTGCAAGGAACCCCAGGGGCCACCTAGTCTAACGCACAGAAATGCAAGAATTGCCGCTGCAGGAGGACAAGGGGTCACAGGAGAGTCAGCAGCTCCTTTGAGCTGGGGGGAAACACCCGAGTGAGCAGGAGGGAGCAGGAGAAGAAGTTCTGGCCTCACTCAGAGATGCCCTGAGGGTCCCTTGTGCCCTTGGCAAAGAGCTGTATCAGCACACAACCACCCCTGGAAAAATCAATTTACTGTAATAGCTGCATTAGAAATTACAGTGGTGCCTCGCAAGACGAAATTAATCCGTTCAGCGAGTCTCTTCGTCTTGCGGTTTTTTCGTCTTGCGAAGCACGGCTATTAGCGGCTTAGTGACTATTAACGGCTTAACGGCTTAGCGGCTTAAAGAAAAAGGAAACTCGCAAGAACTCGCAAGATGTTTCGTCTTGCAAAGCAAGCCCATAGGGAAATTCGTCTTGCGGAACGACTCAAAGAACGGAAAACCCTTTCGTCTAGCGAGTTTTTCGTCTTGCGAGGCATTCGTCTTGCGGGGCACCACTGTACAGCATTTTATGCCACCCAAGTCCTCAAAGAGTGAGGCAAGGAGGAAGGGCATAATAATTATAATTATAATTTATTTATTTATACCCCGCCCATCTGACTGGGTTTCCCCAGAAGAATTGCACCCCCTTGTTCTGTGGTGTGAGAAGGAGAGGAAACGTCTCCTGGGTTTTACCTTGCTGCGACGGTGGTGGCACGTTGCCACAAACATCTCTGCCCTACACCCCCCAGTCTGGTTTTTGTGCCCCCCCAGGAGCTGTGTCCCTGGCGGGGGCCGGTTTCCCCAACCTCTGGCCTCGCCTGCACCACTCACCATGGTCATGCTGGAAAGCTGGACCAGGGGCTGATCCACGGGGGCCAAGAAGATGTTGAGGGTGGCTGTGACGGAAATGGACATCCCCGAGGCCTTGATGGCGCAGCTGGGCGGTGAGGAGACCCGCAGCCTCAGCATCAGAGGAGCATCCACCACGGAGGGGTTCTGGAGGAGAGAAGGAGGGACTCCAATGAGGAGAGCCTGCAGGATCAGGCCACATCTAGCGCAGCATCTTCCTCTCACAAGAGCTGGACTGTTGCCTATGGGAAACCTGAAATCAGGATTCGAACGCAAGAGCTCTCTGCCCCTCCTGGGATTCAGGAGCCATCTAGGCCATCACTGCTTCCAGTGGGAGGAAGTTCCACAGTTTAGCTGTGCACTGCATGAAGAAGGGCTTTCATTTCAGCCAAGGAGGATCAGGGAACGGGCTTGGAGGTGCCATGTGCTTTTCCAGCTGGGGACCCTCATCCCTCTGGACTTCAGCCCTGGGGGCACAGTCCTTCTTGTGCATGAGCCCACCCAGCTCTATCCAGCCCTGGCCTGGAGCCCAGGCACCCTTCTTGCGACAATGAGGCTGAGGGAGACCCCTTTGACTCCAGCTAGTTCCTGGAGAAATCTCTATGTGGGACAAGAAGCTACAGTTAGAACTGGATATGGAACAACTGATTGGTTCAAAATTGGGAAAGGAGTACGACAAGGCTGTATATTGTCTCCCTGCTTACCGTATTTTTCGCACGATTGGACGCACCGGACCATAGGATGCACCTAGTTTTTTGGGGGGGAAATAAAGGAAAAAAAAATTCCCTTTATTTCCCCCCCAAAAGCAGGTCAGGGAAACCGAACCAGGTCGAGGAACAGCGGGATAGTGGCGCTGCGCCTCCCTGCTGTCCCCCGAGCTTGTGGGGCTGGCTGATGTCTGCCTGGCGCGCGGGGCGCTCTGCTTCAGGGCGCCCCACCCGCCAGGCAGCAGGCTGCTATCCGCAGCGTGGGGAGCCCTGTGGGGAACTCCTGCAAGGCTCCCCACTCTGCGGATGTCTGCCTGGCGCGAGGGGCGCTCTGCTTCAGGGCGCCCCACCCGCCAGGCAGCAGGCTGCTATCCGCAGCGTGGGGAGCCCTGTGGGGAACTCCTGCAAGCCTCCCCACGCTGCGGATGTGTTCCCGAAGCGCCTGGAGCTCTGCTTTCAGGGCGCCCGACGCTCCGGGAAGCAGGCTGCTATGGCTAGCAGAGCGCTAATCCCGAAGCTTGGGGCGTGCGGAGCTCAGCGCGCCCCAAGCTTCTGGGCGCCGGCAAGGTCTCCGCTAGCCTAGCGGAGACCTTGCTGGCGCCCAGAAGCTTGGGGCGCGCTGAGCTCGCACGCCCCAAGCTTCGGGATTAGCGCAGTGGTCCGCTAGCCCTGGGAGAGCCGCGCGACGTCGCGGGGCTCTCCCAGGGCTAGCGGAGACCTTGCCGGCACCCAGAAGCTTGGGGCGCGCTGAGCTCTGCACGCCCCAAGCTTCGGGATTAGCGCAGTGCTTCGCTAGCCCTGGGAGAGCCGCGCGACGTCGCGGGGCTCTCCCAGGGCTAGCGAGACCTTTCCGGCACCCAGAAGCTTGGGGCGCGCTGAGCTCCGCACGCCCCAAGCTTCGGGATTAATGCAGCGCTCCGCTAGCTGTGGGAGAGCTGGGTCTCCCACGGCTAGCGGATAGCTTCCTGAAGCCTGGAGAGCGAGAGGGGTCGGTGCGCACCGACCCCTCTCACTCTCCAGGCTTCAGCGAAAGCCTGCATTCGCTCCATAGGACGCACACACATTTTCCCTTGCTTTTTAGGAGGGAAAAAGTGCGTCCTATGGTGCGAAAAATACGGTATTTAACTTATATGCAGAATTCATCATGCGAAAGGCTGGGCTGGATGAATCCCAAACTGGAATTAAGATTGCCGGAAGAATTATCAACAACCTCAGATATACAGATGACACAACCTTGATGGCAGAAAGTGAGGGGGAATTAAAGAACCTTTTAATGAGGGTGAAAGAAGGGAGTGCAAAATATGGTCTGAAGCTGGGGACTTCCGGGTTAGCGCCAACGGCTAATGGCGGATTCCCTCCGAGCTCCGGAGGGAATCGGCTCTGCAGGGGTCGGGTCTTGCCGCGGCGGCGACGCGGAGACCCTCAGAAATCACAGGCGACGAAGCCTGTGAACTTGGTGACTCGGCGGGCACCATTTGCGCCCCCCCGACCCGCGAAGGAGCCTTTTTAAAGGCTTCGGAACGGGGGACGGGGTGAGCGGCGCGGTGCTGAGAGTCGACTGCTTCTCCTGCGGAGTGAAGCCTCATGCCATGGCCGGAGAGCGCTGACTTTTTCCTGTGAACAATTGGACCTTAAAAGCAACAACCCGTGAGTAGTACGGAAATTGGACTTACAAAGAAAAACCTCCTTTTTGAATTAGGCACGATCGGGGAAGGCACAAGCAGGAAGTCCGTCTCCCCGTCTTGTAAATAATCATAAGCAAGGATCAGCTAACTAAGGTCGAGAGAATTTCTTCTTGTTTATTGGGTAAAATACATTAATTTCACCATTTGGCAATATAAGTAATTTAACTGGAGGATAAGAGCTAATTTTGGGAGCTGAAGTGCCACCCCCCCGGACCCGGGAGTGATCCGCGAGAGAGCCTGTTGAAGAGGCATTGAAGAGTTTGACAGCTGTCAAATTAGCTGTCAAAGCTGGGAAAGAGAACTTTGTTTCTGTTGTCTCTGCTGGTTATATTTGTTACAATTTGGTTATAATTTGCTGAAAACAAGGAAGAACTGATACAAACTAACTTGACTTTTGGATTTGAATTGGAAGGAATATTAAGTAACCAAAATCCCTCTAGAGGGGGTTTTGGGACATTACAAGAATGGCTGAAGGAGGGAAAATACAAGCTAAATTGGACAGAGTTTTTGTTCTCTTGGGAAAGTTACAAGGTCAAATTGATGTTTTGGCTACAAATGTTGCAACTCTGGACTTAACGGTAAATAAATTCATTGAATTTGATAAGGACTTGACTAAGGAAGTTTATGCAGCTGGACAAGAAGAGAAACTTGAGAACTTTGAGAGTGAGGAGAAAGAGATATATGTTGTTCCTGAGGAAAAGGAAGGAGGAGCTGTAATGCTGCAGATGACAAAGGAGAGCCAGAGGCCTGACATGATGGCTGCAAAGGAAAATAAGAACTTGATGTCGGAAATCTGGTTTGAATTGGAGATTGAAGAATGGAGAGATCTCCTTATGTGGAGATCTGAAGATCCAAGGATTACAAATCTGATCAAGGTGGAAGTTGGAGCTTTGGGGACATTTGGACTTGAAAGGTGCAAGAAACAAGATTCGGGCTCCACTTTTAAGTATGGAGGTCTGGCTGGAAGAAACATGGATCCCATTTGGCTAGAGCTTCTCCGAGATCTGGTGTTTAATATCAAGGACTATCAAAAAAACCGGCAGAGAGGAACTGAGAGAGAATTAAGAGCCTCGGAGGTGAGGTCTCCAGGCTGATAGTAGAAGATTGATAGACATTTGTTGGGGATTGAAACCGGGGAAGGGGGGGTGGAGTTTGGGGATCCAAAGGGTGCATAATTATAATCTGTTTTTGCTTTTATTTTGTTTTGCTATTTGTCTGAAAATTGGGGAAGTCGTGGAAGGGAATTTGGGTCGACTTTAGAAAAAAAAAGTTTTAAGAATGAGAATTGAGGTATAAATATTGATGTTTATAAGGTAAAATTGGTTGTTGTTTTTTTAAATGAACTAAATAGAAAAAGGTTAAGAATTGGGGATAAGAACTTGTTGAACTAATAATTTGAATTGGAATACAAGAAGGGGAGGGGTGGGGAAGTCAGGGAAATATGTTATAGAAAAATAAGGATTATAAACTTTATGTGTTTTTAACTTTTTTGGTTTTTTTGTTTTTTGATTTTTTTTATTGTACTAAGTGGAAAATTTCAATAAATATCTTTTTTTTAAAAATGGTCTGAAGCTCAACATCAAAAAAACGAAGATCGTGGCCACTGGTCCCATCACCTCCTGGCAAATAGAAGGGGAAGAAATGGAGGCAGTGAGAGACTTTACTTTCTTGGGCTCCATGATCACTGCAGATGGTGACAGCAGCCACAAAATTAAAAGACGCCTGCTCCTTGGGAGAAAGGCGATGGCAAACCTAGAGATCACCTTGCCAACAAAGGTCCGTATAGTTAAAGCTCTGGTTTTCCCAGTAGTGATGTATGGAAGTGAGAGCTGGACCATAAAGAAGGCTGATCTCCGAAGAATGGATGCTTTTGAATTCTGGTGCTGGAGGAGACTCTGGAGAGTCCCATGGACTGCAAGAAGATCAGACCTATCCATTCTGAAGGAAATTGGTCCTGAGTGCTCACTGGAAGGACAGATCCAAGACTTTGGCCCCCTCCTGAGAAGAGAAGACTCCCTGGAAAAGACCCTGATGTTGGGAAAGATGGAGGGCGCAAGGAGAAGGGGACGACAGAGGACGAGATGGTGGGACAGTGTTCTTGAAGCTACCAGCATGAGTTTGACCAAACTGTGGGAGGCAGTGGAAGACAGGAGTGCCTGGTGTGCTCTGGTCCAGGGGGTCACGAAGAGGCGGACACGACTAAACAACAACAAGAAGTTCCTGGGGCGGAGCTGAGGGAGATTATCAGATCACACACACAGAGAGAGAGGTGGAAACCTCTGCTGTGCCCCTCTGCCCACACCTCAGCTTCTCTCCCAGAGCTCTGCTGCCACTCTGGTGGGCGAGAAGCATGGAGTCTGGATGAAGGAAGGAAGGAGCTGGCCCAGGGGCAGCTCCTTCCCTGCTGCCGCCACTCACCATCATGACGATGCTCCCGAAAAACGTGGCTCTCAGCAGAACCTCCAAATCCTTTGGCACCTGGAACAAGAGTGAAGCGTACCAGCAGGTCAGAGCGGCGGCTGTGGGCTCCCTGGCCTCTGCCCGCTTGGCGCAGCTTTTGACCATCTCTCCACCATCACCACCCCGGCCCCGTGGCTTCTCTGCCCAACCAACCTTTTCGTCGGCAATCTCCATGCTCAGAACGCCAGCCTGGAAGTAGGAGAAGAGGGCGGAATCGAAGAAGTACTCAGAGACGGCCAGGTAGACCATGCGCTCCGTCTCCAGCACGACAGGCTCCACGGCCAGATTGGGGAGGGTCTTGTTCTCGTCCCCCAAGTAGAAGAATTTGCCCTGGGGGGGGGGAGTGACGACCCTGGTCAGACCCAACTGCCAGGAGCCACCTGCTTGCAGCTCGCCCATGCCCCAAGCACGCCTGCCTGGGACCACAGGGTGGGTTTTGACTCCCCAGATATCCTCCCCCTTGCCCTCATCTTGCTGCTCCTTCTGACGCAAACTGGAGACCTCCCCGTACCAAACCTCTAGGATTTAAATATTGGCAAAGGCTTCTTCTGGGAGTGCAGCCAGAGCGCACGTCAGTCCCCAGTTCCTTGGGCTCTGCCTACCAATAATAATAATAATAATAATAATAATAATAATAATAATAATAATAATAATAATATTTATGCCATCTGGCCGAGTTTCTCCAGCCAATCGAGTATTAAAAACAATACAGCATTAAATATTAAAAACTTCCCTAAACAGGGCTGCCTTCAGATGTCTTTTAAAGAGAAGATAGCTGCTTATTTCCTTGACATCTGGTGGAAGGGTGTTCCACAGGGCGGGTGCCACTACCGAGAAGGCCCTCTGCCTGGTTCCCTGTAACCTCGCTTCTTGCTGGGAGGGAACCGCCAGAAGGCTCCCAGCACTGGAACAATGGGGGTGGAGAACAAAGGCTCCTCCTGCCCCCCTCGGGCAGAGGTTGGGCACAACCTGTTCAGCTGCTCCACCCCACGTTTTCAGTCCTCTTCCCTGCCCAGGACCCCCACCCAAGTCCCGGTGTTCCCCAGCCCTGGGCTCTGCTGCAGGAGGCACCTCGAAATCCATGTCCATGGTGTCAGACGTGACGACGGGATTCTTCAGCAGGGAGTAGTCTATCCCAATGTGGTCGTCCACCGGGTTCCGCACTGCAGGGCAGGGGGAGAGAGAGTGAGAGAGCGCAGCTGATGGCCACAGCGTCCCTTGCCTGCCTGCCTGAGCCCCATGGCCATGTTCCACCTCCATGGTCAGAGTGAAGATGCCTCTGAACCCCAGTTGCTGGGAATTGTGTTCGAATCCTGCTTGCAGGTTTCCCACAGGCCTCTGGTCGGCCCCTGTAAGAACAGGCTGCTGGACTCGAAAATGGTCCAATTAACATTTGTAAAAAAAAACCTGAAGCCTTTCTGTTAGGGATTGTAGGAAAAGACCTGCCAAGGAAACTGAAAAACATTTTCATGTATGCAACAATGGTGTCAAGAGTCTTAATAGCACAGGGATGGAAGAATGAAGAAATCCCGACTAAAGAACTGTGGCAAGAGAAACGGATGGACTATGTGGAATTCACGAAACTGACATATACCGTATTTTTCGCTCTATAGGACGCACTTTTTCCCCTCCAAAAATGAAGGGGAAATGTGTGTGCATCCTATGGAGTGAATGCAGGCTTTCACTGAAGCCTGGAGAGCGAGAGGGGTTGGTGTGCATAATAATTTTTTTTTCTTTATTCCCCCCCCCCCTAAAAACTAGGTGCGCCCTATGGAGCGAAAAATACGGTAAGCTACATGATAAGGACAACTGTGATTTTAAGGAAGAATGGGAACCCTTTACAAAGTACATAAAGAAACGACAAAATGAACTGGACTCCTTGGCAGGTTTTGAATAAACACTCACAAACTTTTCATTGATAAAAGCCAATCAGATAAATTAAGGATCTATATAATTTTGTAACATGCAGAGAATAACATTAAGGGGAATTAAGGATGATATGTTTTTTGATAAAATGTTTTGTTGAAATTCCTAATAAAAAAGATGATATAGAAAAAAGAAGAGGCTGCTGGACTTGATGGGCCATTGGCCTTCTCCTACGCACCCCCACTATTGACCCTCAAGCTCAGGCAGGCAGCGGGGGCAGAGTGTGGGTCTCCCTGCCTTGCCTTCCTCACCTGGCACCGTGTCCAGCAGAGAGTTGATCAGCACCAGCCCCGCATGGTTCAGCACCGGGCAGATCTGAAAGTGAGAAAGGGAATGGGGGAGTCTGCGGGGAGCAGGAAGCAGCAGCCCCCAGTGCAAGGCAGAGGGAAGGGAGGGTCTCTCCCCCTCTCCTCTTTGGCACCTCTTCCTGCCCCCCGTCGGCGAGAGGGGCTGCCCAAGGTCCCCTGCCCCACCGACCTCTGGCTTGGTGGTTCTTACCTGCTGGTTGAGAAGGTAGCGCATCCCCGTGGTGAGGAAAGTGCCAAGGAATTCATACACCTTTCTGGAGAGAACGCAAAAGCGTGAGAGTGGAGCCCAGAAGGGATAAAAATCAATGGTTTTCTTTAAAAAAAAATATTCTATTTAAATCGGAAATATTTATAATAAAATGCTTTTGGAGGAAAAATCTTTCTAAAGATAGTTTTCTATTTAAGTTACATTATAGTCCAAAGGCTACTCATCAGGAAATAAGGATTTGTTTTAAGTTTTTCATGTGTGCTAGAACTCAGTCTAAGTTGTTTGTTTGTTTTTAATTGTTTAACCACATCAGTTAACAAACATGGATATGTACGCTATAATGTTTTTGTGTTAAATAGTTTAAATTGTTATTAAGGAAATGATTGTTTTTCTCCTTCCGATAAAGTACAGCAGAAAAGTTGTCCAAATATAAACAATAATTTCATAATTACCTGTCTTTGTATTTCTAACAGTATAACAAAATCAGTAATTTTTGATATAACTGTAAAAACTACTCTGAAAATGTATTATTCCAAAAATGAAACCTTCATCTGGTTGTAAATATTAAGATCATACTAGCAAGAATGAGTCTTTCTGTAAATAAATAAATAATAATAATAATATTTATAATAATAAATTGAGTCTTACTGACTAGTGATTTAAACTGATTTGCTTTAAATCAAATCCACCTTGGTGGAGCCCCTTGATCCTTTCTAAGGGGAAGTCCCAGAACGCCCCTCCCTGTCACAGGATCTCCTAACACAAGGCTTTGTGGACCTTCAAGGATGCTGAATGTCGGAAGACTCGGGACAGATGAGAGAAAGTCCTTCTTCACGCAGCACATAGTTAAACTGTGGAACTCCCTCCCACAGTAGGTGGCCACCACCCTAGAAGCCTTAAAAGAAGATAATGAAGAGCTATCGAAGGCTGCTAGCCAGGACGGCTGTGTTCTGCCTCCCCCTGGAAACCATAGGAAGGGGGAGAGTTGCTCTTGTGGTCAGATCCTGCATACTGGTTTCCCCTTGAGGCATCTGCTTGGCCACTGTGAGAACAGGATGCTAAATTAGACGGGCCACTGGCCTGATCCAGCCAGCTCTTCTTATCTATTCTGCCCAGTGGGAATGAGCCACCCTAACTCCTTGCTGGACCTTCCAGCCACTGCCCTGCCCCCAAAGCATCCTCAGCCACCATGGGCTCCTCTATTGCTGCTACGGGCTCCCCGCCGCCCCCGCCCCTTCCACCCATGCCGCTGTGATGCCAACTTAGTTGCCAGCCTGGTCCCTGAAGCAGCTTGCCACCTCTCTCAGCCCTGCTCAGAGGCGCCCCTGGGGACTTGATCCCCCAAAGCAGCAACCCAGGAGGAGTCAGGGGCCAAGTGGAGTCAGGCGTACCTGAGCGTGCCACTGAATCCGGCATGCATGCGGGCGATGGAGGCATTGCAGCTGAAGTTGGAGATCTTGAGGCGGCCGCTGTTGTCCTTGGAGAGCTCCAGCTGAGTGTGGATGTGGACCCCCTCCGCCGAAGTGTTAATGGAGCCGATGTCATAGCTGGGGCGGAAAGGGAAGGATTTGCTGAACAATTAATTGGAAATTGGAATACAGAAAGGGGAGGTATGAGGAAGTCGAGAAAGTAAGATATAAAAAATTAAGGGTTGAAATTATACGTGTTTTTATGTTTGTTTTGTTTACCGTATAGTTTTGTTTTGTTTTTGTTGTGATAAAAAACTTTTGAAACTTTTAATAAAAATTTATTTAAAAAAAAGGAAAGGGCTAAAAGTAGGCATGGGGTGGGAAGGCTGACTCTCCAGGTGTCCCACAGGAGGCCAACCCCCAAGTTGTAGTATTTTGCTGGAAGCCGCCCAGAGTGGCTGGGGCATAAAGAATTAAATGATGATGATGATGATGAGGCCAGCAGCCACACAATTCAGCCACAAAGGGAGCCCACCACAGGGCACTTGGAAGCCCAGGCCCAGCCTTCAATGCCAGGATCAGGCCAGGGTCTCTGCAGAGAGAGCGCTGAGGACCAGGCTGGGAGGGCACAATTGGCCCATTAGACCAGGCACCCCCAACCTGCGGCCCTTCTGATATTTTGGCCTACAACTCCCATGATCCCTAGCTAAGAGGACCAGTGGTCAGGGATGATGGGAACTGTAGTCCAAAACATCTGGAGGGCCGAAGGTTGAGGATGCCTGCATTAGACAGAGGTTTTGGTGGGAGATTGCAGTCAAATATAATAATGCATAAATACTAGTTAGTGCATGAAGGGGTTAAGACTACAGAGTCCTTTTCCTAGACTCAGCTAGGTCACGCCTCCTCTTCTCTGAAGAGGGAGGAAGTTAAGCCTTCTCTTCCTGTTCCCTCTCTTTCTGTGCCATATAACTGATCAAGGAAGACGTGCCTAAGCAAACTCCAAGCTTAGAGCCCGTGCATTTGAAGCGATCTTTCTGTATTTTCTACCCAACAGTATTCTGCCTGTGCTCTCTTTGCCGCTGCTTGGATAAATGCATTAATCCGACTTTTGGAACACTTTGTAAGTAAAGCATTTTAAACTTACTTAACAGTGGTCTGTTCATTGCAAAGGGGTAGAAAGAGGGGGGTGCTTTGCAAACAGACTAAACGAGATATGCAAGCAGCTTATATTCCTCTCTCTTGACTTTGCGAGTTTAAACTCTGCAACTGGGGGCTCTCCCTTGCTGGAAGGCGAGCTTAGCCCCACACTTTGATTCCAGGCCCCCACTCAATTCTTTTGTGATTTACCCCACACATGTGGGTCACAGGGATTCAAATTTGCCCCATTCCCAATACATGCTATCCAGGCAGACTCATCAAACTGTAGAGCTGCAAGGCCAGCTAGTCCAACGCTTTGCAATGCATGAATCCCAGTTAAGAAGAGGTCTTCCCACTTCAGGGCTCACAGCTCCCTTGCAAGGACCCTCTGCCTCTGGTGGGAAGGAGCTGGCTCCCTGGGGGCTTAGTAATAATTTATTATTTATACCCCGCGCACTCTGGGCGGCTTCCAACAAAGTATTAAAATACAGTAGTCTGTTAAACATTAAAAGCTTCCTTAAAGAGGGCTGCCTTTAGATGTCTTCTAAAAGTCTGGTAGTTGTTGTTCTCTTTGATATCTGGTGGGAGGGTGTTCCACAGGGTAGGAGCCACCAGCAAGAAGGCCCTCTGCTTGGTTCCCTGTAACTTGGCTTCTCGCAGGGAGGAAACCACCAGAAGGCCCTCGGAGCTGGACCTGTGTCCGGGCAGAACGATGGGGGTGGAGATGCTCCTTCAGGTATACTGGGCCGAGGCTTAGTTACCCCCCCCCAAGCCGGCCTCCTCCAAGGCTCCCTGTTTGGGCTGGTGCCAGAGCCTGGGCTGGTGTGAGAGTAGAATGCGAGTGACTCACAAGAACCAGTAGAGCAGCTGGCGGCGGAAGCGCAGGCTGATGGACCCGTTGTTGATGTTGAAGGCCAGGTGTTGCTTGGGCTCAAAGCGCAGGTCGGAGGCGGACAGGTGGAGATGGGTCACTCTCACCCTGCGGGGAGAGGGAGAGACGCAGCCTGGTACTGAATTGAATGGCTACAGCCTGCAACTAAACTATGGAACTCCTTGCCACAGGAGACAGCGATGGCCACCAACCCAGGGTGGGCGATTGGTCCCTGGCCAAGCACAGCATCTTCTAAGCTAGGAAGCAAAGCCCCTGTGAGGCAGCCCCCCCCCCAAATAAACTCACTTGCTGATGTTGTAGTGGAACTGGCCCTCCTTGCCGTGGAAATCAGCGATGGTGATGTTCTCCAGCTCCTGTTCCACAAAGCGGAGCCCCTCCTGCTTCACTGCAAAAGCCCCCAGAGGGGTGTCACCGCCAGCTGCTCCCCTCGCAAACCCAGGAGAGGGGTCAAGCAGCCACCCACATCCCTGGGGGCAGGAGGTGCCGGCCAAGAGACCCGCCAAGACCCCTTTGGCAGGCAGAATGGGGCAGGACCCCAAGGCCAGAGGTGTCCTTGGCAGCAGCAGTGCTGGGGACCAGGCAGGTACCCCAAAGAGAACCGCTTTGCAGCATCCCCTCCCCTTGCCCCCGCCTCCTTACCCAGGTCCAAGCCCTTGGCTGTCATCCTGATCTTGAAGCCTGGAGTGGCAGCGGCAGCCGCTGTGCCCAAGAAGGGCAGCAGGAGGAGGAAGGGGAGAAGAGAGTGGCACAGGACCATGGTGGCACTTGCCCTGCAAGAGGTGGCGGAGGAGAGCAAGTCGTTGGCCCCAGAACATAGTTCATGCAGGAGCACATCGTTAAACTGTGGAACTCCCTCCCACAGGACTGGACAAAACCGAGTCTCTTACGACACGATTCAAGAAAGCTCTATGTGCTTTAACCTTTTCATACCACAAATACGTTGTAGATTCTGGGGCTACATTTCATCTTTGATGCATGCCAAGCAAAACTACTGTTGTGACCTTCAAGGTCTGAAACATCAGTATCCATTCCCTTGTGCTCAGATCCCACTTGTGAGTTTCGCATTGGGTACTGTGAGGACAGGGGGCTGGACTAGATGGGCCCTCTTTGGCCTGATCCAGCTGTAGGTCCGTGGGCAGCCGCTCCCTCTCCTTCCCCGCCCCCCCTCCCTGGCAAGGGATGTGTGCCAGGGGCTGTGCAGGACACAGAAGTGGCACCAGTCCCTCCCACAGTGCTGAGGGCCAGTGATTTGATGGGCACTTGGCCATCTTGAGCGCTATTCACTGCGCACAGTCCTCTGAGGAAACCCTCCTCCACATTATAGGCAGAGCAACAGAAACCTCAGCTCCTCGGCACTGGGGGGGGCAGGGGGGGATCTGGATGCAACTGGCTCTGTGTCAGTCTAAGACGAGAACTTCCTGGGCCTAATTCAAGGTGCTCAGCTGGAGGTGAAAGTCCCTGAATGACCTGGGGCCCCAATTCCTGAGAGAACGCTGCCTCCCGCACCCACCGGCCCATGAGCTGTGATCCCCAGCTGGGACTCTTCTGGGGGTCTCCATACTAAACTGCGGGTGGGGCCTGTGGGAAAGAGCCTTTTTGGTGGGGGCTCTGTGCCTGTCAAATGACCTCCCCATTGAAGTGCTTCTCCTCCCAACCTTATCTTCTTTTAGGTGCCTGATTTAAAAAAGAACTTTTTTCTCATGTTCTTAAAGGCTGGTGTGTGGATGATGTTCTTTATGGGGCAAGGTAATTTGAATATTTCTATGTCTTTATGTGATCTATGGGCTACTTTAAAAATGAGACTGCACTTTAAATTGCATTTTAACCTGTATTTTAAATTGGGTCTCCCCCCCCCATTATGTTTTTACTGTAATTTTTACTGGTGTTAGCTGCCTTGAGCCCGGCTCTGGCCGGGGAGGGCGGGGTATAAATAAAATTTAATATTATTATTGCACATTACACTTTTACAGGATTTATTTTTTGAAATTGTTTACCGTATTTTTCCATGTATAACACGACCCCTCTTTTGCGGGACTCAAATTTATGAAAATGGATGACCCCTATGCAGTGGCGTAGCGTGGGGGGTGCAGGGGGTGCCGGCCGCACCGGGCGCAACATCTGGGGTTAGGGCAAATCCACAGGTTAGGGGGCGCAAATCCACGGGTTAGGGGGCGCAAATTACTTGCCTTGCCCCGGGTGCTGACAACCCACGCTACGCCACTGCCCCTATGTATAAGACGGCCCCCGTTTTTTCACATTATTTTAGAGTAAAGAAACCTAGTCTTATACACAGAAAAGGACAGTATTTATTGAATTTATCTCCTTCCTTGAAGAGGTCAGATGGCCATCTGTCCTGGAGGCTTCAGCTGAGATCCCTCCATTGCAGGGGGTGGGACTGGATGACCCTCGGGGTCTCTTCTGACTCTACCATTCTAGGGTTCTGGGGTTTTGTCTCCCACTCTTCCTCTAGGGAAGAGCCTTGTTTTTGCAACAATTTTTCGTGAAGTGCTGGAGGGACACCAGTCAGTCCACGAGTGAAGAAAGACCCAAAGCAACTTTTGCCCAGAGTGCCCGTCCGAAGGGTCACGCTGAGAGGACTGGAGAAGACAGGCCTTTGGGTCAGAGCTGGTGGGCATTTTCTTCAGAGCACGGCTTACGTTGTTTCAGATGGTCACACTCCTGCATTGCAGAGGGTTGGACTACATGGCCTTTGGGGTCCCCTCCAACTTCACAGTTCTAAAATTCTAAGCTTTTTAAAGACTGACAGGAGGCCGGACCCAGTTCATGGGGTGAGGATCAGAGGGGTCCTTCCTGGGAAGGAAGAAGGATCCTCTCTTGACCTCAGCCGGAGCTTCTAGACGGGACCCCACCAAGTGCCCCTTTCTCTTCTAAGGAAAAGGGAGGCTCCTCCTCCAGCAGCTGCTATCCCTGAGCGCTCAGCAGAGCCTCCATGTTCAGAGGCAGTTATCCCCTAAGTTCCACAGGACGGCCAATACGCACCAGGGACGCAAACGTCTGGCCAACGGGGCTGTGGAGATCTGGCCGCTGGCCTAGAGGGCTCTGCGAGGGAGGGGGCAGTCCAGCCTGGGGACTCTTCCTTATGCTTGTCCTTTGTGTGTGTGGCGGGGGGGGGGGGGATCTGGCGAGCTGCTGGAAGATCAGGAGTTTGAGGTCAGGCTGGGGCCAGAGTTTTCCAGCGGCTCCCTTCGGGCTCGCTTCTCCTCCACTTGGGCGCAGCATCGCCCACTGCGCGGGAGCGAGACTGGGGGTCGCCCCCCAAGAAAGAGGAGTTCCACCGGGCAGTCCCGGGGATGAGGGGCAGCTCTCTCCAGCAGCCCCCTGAGCTTCCCCCACCCCACCTCGGGCTGCCTGGTCCCTGACCCGGAGCAACCCCCCCCCCCCAGCCAGACCCAGACCCGGGGGCGGAGACGAGCCTGGCCCTTGCCCCTACCCAGCCCCTCGCAACTGCCCCCGTCCCCGAGATCCCGGGGCGCTGCGGGTGGGGTGCCAGGCTCCCGCACCCCTCGACGCCCCCCCCTCTCCATGCCCCCTGCTGGGAAGGGGCCGCTGCAAACGCGCCGCCGCCGCCTCCTCCTTCCCCCCATCGCGGGCAGGTCTGGGCCATTCGTGCCCGCTGCAGACGCCCGGAGGCTCCTCGCCAGACGCGCATCACGAGCCCCGGCTCCGCGCTTCCCCTTTGTCTCTTCCTCGCGGGGAAGGGAAGGCTCTCCCTCGCACACGCGATTTGCCCGCGACCGTGTGAAGGCGGCGGCGGGGACCCAACGCTCCTTTCTCCCCCGCCCCCTCCCGCTGCAGAGATCTCGTGACTTGCGGACGAAGCCCGCTAACTCCCCTCGTCCCCCCGAAGCCCTGGCCAAGCCAGCAGCCTCCCGGCGCATCACCGCGCGCGCGCGATGGATAGAGGGGAGATGGGGGTGGTCCTTCCACCCCCCGCCACCGGAGCGTGCTTGCAGGGCCAGCTGGAGTTGGGGGGTCCTCGCCTGCCCCCCACCCAAGGAGGGGTTCCCCGGGAGGCTGGTGGAGGAGGGTCCTGCAAGCGGGGGAAGCGGCCCCCCTCTCCAGCCCTTCTCTGCAACCGGGAGAGAGGCACCTCCGCCCCGCGCGGCGCCGCGCACTTGCCGGCTGCGCTGGTCCCTCGGCGGCGTCTGCTCCGACCTCTCCTCGCCCCGCGTCCCGGCTTGCCCGCCTGCGCGCCCGCCCGGCGCCTTTATACTCCCTCCTGGCGCTTCCTCGCCCGCCCCAGCGGAGGAGGGGACAGCCCGGGCGGGAGAGGCGAGGCCACTCGGGGCCGGGCAGGCAGGCAGGCAGGCGGGCGAGGGAACGGGGCGCAGTTGCTCCGGGGTTGGCGCCCCGGGATGTGCAGAACAGGAGCCTCGCTGCGCGCATCCCTCGCCGCGCCCTGAGGAGCTGGCCTGCAGGCTCTCCGGACCGCGCCTGGCTTGCCCCGCCGGCGCCTGCTTCGCCCCGGAATGAGCGCTGGGAGGCCAGCGTTGTCAGCTCTGGCCGGCAGCAGCTCTCAGTCCCAGAAGGGCCTCCTTTCCACTGCCTGGCCCTCCTGCCTGCTGGAGCTGAGCAATCACCTTCTTGCCCCTTCCCTTCCCAAAGCGCCTTGGGGGTCTCTCTGACTGGGTTATCTTCACAACATCCCTGTAGGCTGGCTCAGCCTGAGCCAACGTCGCCCACAGAGCAGGGAACAGGCCCTTGCTCTGCCCCAACCCAGGCTCCATCAGGAGAGCCCTTTCTGGACAAAAGAAAGACACTGGGATTTGCTGTGTGAAAAATGAGTTGCTTCCTGCTTTCCTATCCCAACTTTTTCTTCCAGGCAGTCTACATGATTCTTCTTCCCCTCCTCATTCAGTCCTCACAACAGCCCTGTGAGGTAGGCTAGGCTGAGAGGCAGTGGCTGGCCAGTGAGCTTCATGGCCGAGGGCAGATTTGAACCCAGGTCTCTTCCAGGACCTAATCTGGGTCTCACTTTTGATGCCGGGAGAAGCAGAGCCCAAAGAGGCACCAATTTAGAGCACAGGAAGTCACATGGCAGAGAATCAGGCCCCCACCCACAGGGGAATTGAGGCTGGGGTCTTTCTCTTGCTCTCCCAATCTGGAGGTGCTTGAGATTTAATCCGGAGCCTCTTGCGGGGTCAACCATTGAGCTTCTCCAGTTCAGCTTGCACCATTTGGACACCAATTCCTGCCTTCGTTTCTTCCCCTCCCTCCCCTTCAATTGCACCTTCTGAATCAGGTTGCAAGGCTGGCCTGGCTGTTTTTCCTTTTGTGGCTGGAGTGGCCTAACTGCTCGGACATTGGGACATCAGTGTGACTCAGCCATCCTGACGGGGTCCATAGCCTTCTCTGGGTTCAGAGAAAGCAGCAGACTCCTCTCCTGGCCCCATCTTCCCAGGGTGCTCAGCTCCCCAGGTTGACCAAGGCAGACCCACAGAGGAAGGCCTTGAAGGGTCCCTGGAGCCCTGGGGAGTTCCAGACACGAGGTGTGGGAGGGTGCTACTTAGGAGTAGCCGGACTACAGCATGGGAAGGGCATGAGTGGAACCTGGTGGAACGCTCTGTCGCAAGAGACAAGGGCCCTACAGGACTTGACATCTTTTCGCAGGGCCTGTAAGACAGAGTTGTTCCACCAGGCCTTTGGTCAGGGCGCAGCCTGACCCCCCCCCCTTTGGCAATCTTTATAAAACTTTAGTTTATGGTTGCCATCAATTTGTATTTTAATTAATTTTTATAATGTTTTATAATGTTGCACTGTTTTAATGTTGTTAGCCGCCCTGAGCCCGGCTTCGGCTGGGGAGGGCGGGATATAAATAAAATTTATTATTATTATTATTATTATTATGAGAGAGGACACTGAAGGGCCGGGGTCCTCGTGGGTTGAGTCCCTGTGCTTCCTGCCCACCCACCCCTTTTCCTGCTTCCAAGCTGGATCCCACAGGTTTTGCTCCTGGGGGAGGAGGGGGACCTCAGCAGTGCCCCCCCTCAACCCTGCCGCTAGCTGGGCTTGGCCCTCCTGCGCTTTGATGAAGGCCACATTGAAGGGGGGGGAGCCCTGTGTGTTTCCACAGCAGGTTGCTTCCCTCCTGCCATTGAAACCATTTATCAAAGCAGCTTCCTCAAAGAGCCTGCCTTCCTTCCTGTCGCCTCCCAGGCTTCTGATGCGACTGCAAGCACGTCTCCCGGCATGGAAGAAGCCGCAAAGGGCCGGCTCTCTGCCTTCCAGCGGCAAGTCAGCACATAAGGCTGGATCAGACCAATGGCCCATCTACTTCTAGAAACCAGCATGGCGTCGTGGTTAGAGTGTCAGGCTAGGGCTCAGGTCAGCAGAGACTAGGGTTCAAATCCTCACTTGGCCACGAAGCTCACTGAGGGCCTGTCATTGCCCCTCAGCCTAGCCTACCTCACAAGGCTGTTGTGGGGACTAAATGCGGAGAGAAGGAACCACGTACACCGTACTAAGTTCCATGGAGATCAAGGTGCATGCAAACAACCAAGGAGTTGCCATTGACAGACAAATTCATGGAGGCCAAGGCTGTCTCTTTTCCTAGGTGCAAAACATGTTGTTTCGCTTTTAAAAATAAGTTTCTCTTCCGTGCTGCCAGTGCCCATGATATGTTTGGGCTGGTATTGGTCTCGTGAAGTTAGCCAAAGCAAAGGGAGCAGAGACTTTGCTGGTTCCATTATGGCAGTGGAGTGTGGTCAGTGGACTGGGGGACTAGGCCAGCCCCCTAAATGTTCCCAGTAAATTAGAGTACAGTGGCACCTCAGGTTACATACGCTTCAGGTTACATACGCTTCAGGTTACAGACTCCGCTAACCCAGAAATAGTGCTTCAGGTTAAGAACTTTGCTTCAGGATAAGAACAGAAATCGGGCTCCGGCGGCACGGCGGCAGCAGGAGGCCCCATTAGCTAAAGTGGTGCTTCAGGTTAAGAACAGTTTCAGTTTAAGTACAGACCTCCGGAACGAATTAAGTACTTAACCTGAGGTACCACTGTCTTAAAGTATTAAAGCCTGGCACCTCCTTCCCAGTGCCCTGGAAGTTTCTGGCTGGCTTAGGGAGGGAGGAGTGCAACGTCACAGGCACGACATCGCCGCCCCCATTGCCCTCGCAAGCTGGCGCCTCTGGCCCTAACTGATCCCCTACGAAAAAAATTCACCACATACCACTGCATGATAGTCCACCTGAAAGGGAGGAGATGTCATGGGGGCAAACTGGGCTGGGAAACATGAAGGGCACCAAGCGGGAAACGAATGAGAGCAAGAAAGCAGGCCGGCTCCCCAGGCCCTGCAAAGAGCATCTCTCCCTGTTCTGCTTCTTCCTCATTTTGCTGCTAACCTTAAGAGACAACCCCATCACCCCTCCCAGACTGGAGGTTGGGGCGAAAGGCGTCACTGTGCAGCTCTGCATTCCAGAGATACCGCTTCGGAGTTTTCTGTGCTGAACATCCGGTGCCTCTGAAATGCTCCCAGGCTCAGCCTCCGATGCCCGCCTTTCTGCTTGGCACCCAAATGCCAGCGCAGGTCCTTGCAGGAGCGACACACCTTTCCTATGATTCACTGCGGAGGAGGCAATGGGGTGGGAAATCAGCAGGGCTTATCTTATCCCTCTTTTCTTTCTTTTTCTGCAGCCGGGGACAAAATAAGAAAGAACAGAGCCTCCTTTGAGGGCTCTTGTAGGTCACCATTATTCCCATTTTACACCTGGGGGTAATTAAAATGCCTATCTGCCAGATCCAATCATGGAGTTGGAAGGGAACCCCAAGAGACATCTGTGTCCAGGGCAGCTGTTTACCAGCTCCATCTGGTACGCAGGATGAGACCCTACCTGCCTGCGGACTGCCTCGCCAGAGTGGTGCATGCTCTGGTTATCTCCCGCTTGGACTACTGCAATGCACTCTATGTGGGGCTACCTTTGAAGGTGACCCGGAAACTACAACCAATCCAGAATGCGGCAGCTAGACTGGTGACTGGGAGTGGCCGCTGGGACCACATAACACCGGTTCTGAGAGATCTGCATTGGCTCCCAGTACGTTTCTGGGCACAATTCAGATTGTTGGTGCTGACCTTGAAAGCCCTAAATGGCCTCGGTCCAGTATCCCTGAAGGAGCGTCTCCACCCCCACTGTTCAGCCGGAACACTGAGGTCCAGCGCCGAGGGCCTTCTGGCAGTTCCCTCATTGCAAGAAGCAAAGCTACAGGGAACCACGCAGAGGGCCTTCTTGGCAGTAGCACTCGCCCTGTGGTACTCCCTCCCACCAGATGTTAAAGAGATAAACAACAACCTGACATTCAGAAGACATCTTAAGGCAGCCCTGTTCAGGGAAGTTTTTAATGTGTGACATTTTGATGTATTTTAAATCTTTGTTGGAAGCCGCCCAGAGCGGCTGGGGAAACCCAGCTAGATGGGCGGGGTAAAAATAATAATAAATATTAATAATATTAATAATTATTATCTAGCCCACCCCCTGCAATGCAGGAATCACCATCCCTGGTCCCAGTTTCATCCTGCCCTCATGGCCTTATGGCTCTGCCTTTGTCCCCTGCCCCATCCCTCAGTGACCCTTCCAATGAGCCTGTGGGTGGGGGGAACGTGAAGAAGGTTTAATACTGGGAATCCCTTTCTTAGCATGTTTGGGACTGTGGCTCCGTGGCAGCAGGAAAGCAGCCCTGGCCTGGCCGGGCAATTGCCCCTTCTTCCTCTCTGTGCCTCTGACCACCAGCGGCTCTATCCGCAACTAATCAGCTAATCTCTGCTAGTACTTTAAGCAAGCCTGGAATTTGTTCTTGCAAGGGCTGTTATGCAACAACATGTGCTTGCTTCAGCCGCAGAGTGTGTGGGGTTTGCAGGCAGGTGGTCCCCAGTTCAGTCCCCAATGGCATCTCCAGTGGGGGCTGGAAGGGGCTCCTTTGCCTGAAACCTGGGAGAGGAGCAGGCAATGCTGAAATGGCTGGACCACTGCTCCAATGCTGCGCAAGGCAGCTTCCTGGGACTCCTGTGCTCTTGAACGGTGTCTTGTTCTGAAGGGAGAGAAATGGGTTTGGCGGTTTATAAGGCTCCCCTCTCTGCCACTTTACTTCTCCAGTGTGGAGAGCCAGTGTGGTGCAGTGCTTAAGAGCGGTGGACTCGTAATCTGGTGAACCGGGTTCGCTTCCCCGCTCCTCCACATGCAGCTGCTGGGTGACCTTGGGCCAGTCACACTTCTCTGAAGTCTCTCAGCCCCATTCACCTCACAGGGTGTTTGTTGTGGGGGAGGAAGGAAAAGGAGAATGTGAGCCGCTTTGAGACTCCTTAAAGGGAGTGAAAGGCGGGATATCAAATCCAAACTCTTCTTCTCCAGCTCCTTTCACTAAGTTTTGAAGAGAAATGGGAGGCAGGGATGCCTGCTAACTTGGATGACTATTGAAGAGGGTTGGACAAAACAATGGAGTAGGAGAGGATGGCCATGCTCCTGTCTCCACAGTCAGAGGCAGCGATGTGTCTGAATCCCAGTTGCTGGAAACCGCAGGAGGGGAGAGTTGCTCTGGTGCTCAGGTCTTGTGTGCTTTTCCCATGTGGGCTTCTGCTGGCCCCTGTGAGATTCAGCCGTCACCGTCTGTGCCAACTTTTAAATGCTTGCTGAAAACTCCTATTAAGGACAATATGAATTAAAATGTAAAATACAATCAAGGTAACTAATTGTATCTGTAAATGAATATAGACAAACAAGAAGATGTGTATATACAGAAAGATTTATTTATTTAATCTACGAAGCAAGATTTATTTGTATATAGACACTGTACGGATAAAGTTGAAAGAAGAAGAACAATATACAAAATTGATAAAGACAATGCAAAAAACTTAGAGACGACATAAAAAAGCCAGAAGAAGGAAGGAGGGAAGTCAACTCTTAGGGGTAAATGTAAACATAATGTGTATGTGTATATGTATAGTATGTAATCATAAAATCAATAAAGATTATCTTCAAAAAAAGGAAAGACAACTCCTATTTCTTCAGGTCCATGTAGGTGACTAAGAGCACATCTCCCACAATTGGTTTATTGATGCTTTTAACCGCTTTGCTTCTTAAAATTGTTTTTAATACTTTTATGGTTTTTACATCTTTAATGTTGTAAACCACTTTGATACGTTTTGTGATTGAGCGGTATATACTTTTATAAAAGAATAATAGGTAATAGACTGGCCTCATCCAACAGGCTCTTCTGAAACAACTAACTAAGCATTAGCAAAAAGGGGGGCTAATGCTATTCTAGGCTGCATCCTTGGCAGTCCCCCCCCCTCCCGCATTGCCGCACTGCTGGTCTCCTCCTATCTCTAGGGAAGACCCACAGGATTGAATTGATTCCACACCTTGTTCCCAGCGTGGATCATCTTCCCTGGCGGGCGTGGGAATGTGCCATTTTGTGGTTAACCTCAAGTGCCAAAATGTCTTGGGGAGGCCCTGCCTCGGATGGGGCTTGTGAGATCAGAGTAAAAATAGGGGATGGGGGGATGGGGTGGGACACGCCTCCCAAACTTTTAACGACAGCCCTACCACAGGTGAGAAGCCAGATGATTCTCCAGCAATTATATGGGTCAGCCAACATGCTAAGAATAGTGCAGATAAACGAGATGTCGGGGCTGACAAATGTTTGCTTCCTTTTAGTATAAAGCTGAAAAGGCACGTTAAAAAATGTCAGAGTGAAAAGTGGCCTCCCCCAGCAGTTTTGGGCTCCGATCAGCCTCAGCCCGCAGAGCTTGCAGGTGCTGCTCAGGTGTTCTTTGCTTGGAGCAAGGCCTGTGTGCTTGCTTCTGTGCATCCAAACTGTCTGCTCAACTCATTCAAGGATTCCCAAACTTTATCTGGCCTCACCCCCTTGGTTAAACTCCTCCCTAGTGCCCCCTACCCTATTAAAAACATTATTCAGAAGAGTGGTTTGCACGACCCACCAGGGAAGACAATAACATTCAAAGCAGTAACAAGTAATTGCACGTTAATTCAAAATCCAGTGAAAGGGATTTAATTAATTCAAGAAAATTGATGGGCTTGAGTTTTTCCAAGTCTGATAGGCCTGTCTGCCACTTAGCATCCCATTCCCCCCCCCCCAGGTAATCCCTGCATCAACCACCTTGGAAAGCACTGCTGCTAATTCATTACAAGCAAAAATACACAATCACCACCAACGGTTTATTGCAGACAGTAAAAATCCCCAGTACTGTGTTTTCACCGAAGCAAAACTCCTTTTTGTCCCCTCCAACTTTTCAGTGGCCTTTCCGCCTCGGGGCTTTTGCTCAGCTAGTGGCAGATTTAGCCCAGGAGGTCTATGGTTTGGACAAGGCTGAGTGTGCCACAGGCCCCCGCCCTGGAAAGTACTGGCCAAGCCTGGAGCGTTTTCTTGAGGGCTGCCCTTTTTCTGCAAGACGGCCTCCAGCTGGAAGAGATGGAGGCGAAGGCTCAGAGCCCAAGGCAAACCGGCTGCGGGTGCAGGGACCACAGCAGGGCAGAGAGATGAAAGGCTTGGCAAACCAAAATAGCTGTGGACAAAATGACTCACTCTGGGAGGGCCAGTGGGGGAACAGCCCATTCTCACCAGCCTTACTCTGACCACAAGAGCCAGATTTGATGCAGGTGGGTCCCCGAGGGCTTCAATTTCTTCATTTGGATGTAGCAACAGGGAGGGAGGAACCGCTGTGGATGAGGCTGAGCCAAGAGCAAAAGAGTGGGGAATTAATGGAAGCCATTTCCCCCATCAAAATCCCCACCAGCTGATTTCCACCCCATGGGGGTAGCGGAAGGGATACTGGACTCCCATTATTCTTATTGATGCTTGGGTTGCGAACATGATCCGTGCGGGATGCACATTCACAACCTGCAGCGGCACGTCTGCGCACGTGCAGGTTGCAATTTGGCGCTTCTGCGCAAAGCATGATTTAGCGCTTCTGTGCATGCGTGACCTCCAAAACCCAGAAGTAACCCGTTCTGGTACTTCCAGGTTTGGGAGCGTCCGTAACCTGAAAAAACGCAGCCTGAAGTGTCTGTAACCTGAGGTATGACTATTATTACTATAACAATTTGGGGATATAGCTTTTAGGCAGAGGGCTAAGCAGATTCTCTGCCTCATGGCTGCCCCAAGCAAATTTCAAAACCCACAAGGAATAATAATAATAGGGAGAGATTTCTAAGTCACATCCAATGTTGCAGTTCTTTTGGAAACAGCTTTAGCAGATTGCAGAGCAGCGCACACAGGGGGAATGCAGCCCCCAAGTTGGATGCTTTCAAAATGCCCCCTTAAAGAAGGGCCCTCGCAGCTCAGGGGCAAAGCATCCGCTGCCAGCTGAAGGTCCTGGTCCGTGGCATCTCCAGACAGGGCTGGGCAAGAAATCCAGGAGAGCAACTGCCACTCCATGTAGACAATCCTGAGCTGGATGGGTCAATGGGTTTGACTCAGGCGAAGGCAGCGTCCGGCGTCCCTGAAGAGAAGCAGCAGGCGACTGAGAAGGGTCAATATTTTCTCCCTCTTCCTATCGTAACTTTATTACTACTGGGGGATGACCACTGATTCATTAATCTCCTTCTAAACGCCCATCTCTCAAGGCAGTTTGCATCCATAAAAAACCAGTCAAAACCTCTTTTGCTTTGAAAGTTTTATTTTTTCATGCTTTTATTTTTTGTAACGTCGTAAACTGCTTTGACATGTTTTGTGATTGAGCGATACAGTATATAAATGCCTTTATAAATAAAGTAAGATGCAAACAATAAATAGGCTTCTAACAAGACTAAAACCCTGGTCAGGGTTTCAGCCTGGGAAACCTTTTGGAACAAAAATGTCTTCAATTGTTTCCCGAAACTGCAGGCTGTGGATGCCGGTGGCTCCACAGAACAGGGGCAGCTGTACTACAAGCCCTGCTAAGGACTGGGCTTCTGACATCTTTGGCAGAGAAGCCTCTGCTGCCGACCGACTGCAGTGATTGACTGGGTGTATAAGGGACAAGGCAGTATCTCTCTCTCTCCCCCCAGCAATCAGGTCCTGAGCTGCATAGGCACTTGAACTTGACAAGTGGTGTGCACTGACAGCCATTGCAAATCCCGCAAGTAGGGAGTTATATGCCTCAAAAGATTCCATCAACGGTGTCTCCGAAAATTTTTACACATCACTTGGGAAGACAGGCGAACTAATGCCAGTGTACTGGAAGAAGCAAAGATCACCAGTGTTGAAGCAATGATTCTTCAACATGAACTTCGTTGGACTGGTCATGTTGTGCGGATGCCTGATGATCGTCTTCCAAAGCAACTGCTCTATTCCGAACTTAAAAATGGAAAGTGTAATGTTGGTGGTCAACAAAAGAGGTTTAAATGCTGTCTCAAGGCAAATTTTTAAAAATGTAGTATAAACACCAACAACTGGAAAACAGTTGCCTGCGAGTGCTCCAGTTGAAGAACAGCCTTGACCAAAGGTGTCATGGGCTTTGAAGACACTCAAACTCAGGACGCAAGGGAGAAACGTGCTAAGAGGAAGGCAGGCTTGGCAAACCCTCACCGGGATCAACTCCCGCATGGAAACCAATGTCCCCACTGTGGAAGGAGGTGTGGATCCAGAATTGGCCTCCACAGTCACTAACGGACTCACTGTTAAGACCGTGTTCATGGAAGACAGTCTTACTCGGCTACGAGGGATCGCCAAAGGAGAATATGCTGGCGGTAAACCCCCCCCCCATGCTAGCTGTTGCATTCTGCACCAGCTGCCGCCTCCGAATCGAGCCCAAGGGTAGCCCCACAAAGAGCACAGTGCAGGAATTCAACCATGAGGTTACCAACGCAGGGCAAGGTCAAACTATCGTAAGGTTACCAGATGTCCCCGTTTCCTGGAACAGTCCCTGGATTTACAAATCAGTCCACTGGCAAAATCTATCTATTTAGTAGGAAGTTGAAAAGTGTCCCTGGATTCACTGAAAAAAATCTGGTAACCTGAAGCCATAGGTTGACAACCTAAGGCCCTGGGGCCGGATCCAGCCCAATCGCCTTCTCAATCTGGCCCACAGTCAGTCTGGGAATCAGCGTGTTTTTACATGAGTAGAATGTGTGCTTTTATTTAAAATGCATCTCTGGGTTATTTGTGGGGCATAGGAATTCATCCCCCCCCCAAAAAAATATATAGTCCGGCTCCCCACAAGGTCTGGGGGACTGTGGACCGGCCCCCTGCTGAAGAAGTTTGCTGACCCCTGCCTTAAGCTATCGTGACAACGGACGGGGTACTGGGAAGGCTTTGCGTGATACCCCCGCCCACATCTCATATCTTGATTTCTTTTCGTAAATAAACGGAAACCCAGAGCTCAGTGACTCCTGGACTGTTTACTGGCCCGAATATAAACAGACTGTGGAAGCTCCGATTTTTCTGCCAACTTGCAGTCCGCCTGCAGCTGCTCTTTCCTCGAGGACAACCAGGGTTGCAACATTTAAAAGCCACCCAGACTTTTGCTCCGGTTAGCAAGTTCCAAATCCGTTTTTACTAAGGGAGTGCCCTGCCTCTGAGGGAGGAGGAGGGAAAACAGTTCCCCCTCCTGGGTATCAGGAGCAGCTTCTTCAAAGGGTTCCGTAAAAATGCCCTATTGCCCTCCATTTCCTTTTGCACAGCAAATGTTTATGGCCCCATCTGAACACTGAAGGACATGCAGCATATAAAAATAAGGTGTTCATTTTTAAAATCAACAGGGGCCCCCAATGAAATGAAACTGCCATTTGGATGCAGGAAAAAGCTCAGCCATCTTCATCTATTTATTATTTCATAAGATGTATACACCTCTTTGATTGTAAAAAAAAAGCCCCCTCAAAGCATTTATTGGGGGGGGGGCATAAAATGATCCCTGAAAAAAGCAAAACAAAAAAACACCCCACCATTCCATAAATTCCGGTAACACTAGGGAAAAGCTCAGCTATATTCATCTATTTATTATTTCATAAAATTTATTCACCTCTTGATTGTAAAAGCCCCCCTCAATGCAGTTTATAATAACCCCCCCCCATAAAATGATCCCTGAAAAACTAACAACATTAATGTAAGGCTTACTAAAAGTTAAAATAACACTGGACTTAAACAGATTAAAACTCGCATTAGCTTTGTAAATATTTGGGCAGGCATGTCTAAACAAAAATGCTTTCCGCAGGCGTCGAAGGGAGTGCGGTTGAGTGTTTGGTGTCATGAGGCAGGGAGTTCCAAAGTGAAGTTGCTTCTGCTGTTTAGGGGTAAATTACAATAAATTACTATTATTATTATTAATATTAATATTAATGAGAGGTTGAGTTCTTGCCCAGGCGTAAGGGGAATTAAGGTGCCCCTTCTGCAGAAGGAGGCACTCAAGGGACCGTCGGTGGGTCAGGCCCCCTCGTGGGTAAACTGCTCTGAGCTTCAGCTACTGGACCAGGAGCGCAGCCAGGGAGTCATTCTGGACTCACAGCTGTCCATGGAGGCGCAGGTTAATTCTGTGTCCAGGGTATCTGTTTACCAGCTCCACCTGGTACGGAGGCTGAGACCCTCCCTGCCTGCGCACTGTCTCACCAGAGTGGTGCATGCTCTGGTTATCTCCCGCTTGGACTACTGCAATGCGCTCTATGTGGGGCTGCCTTTGAAGGTGATTCAGAAACTGCAACTAATCCAGAATGCGGCAGCTAGACTGGTGTCTGGGAGCGGCCGCCGAGACCATATAACACCAGTCCTGAAAGACCTACATTGGCTCCCAGTACGTTTCCGAGCACAATTCAAAGTGTGGGTGCTGACCTTGAAAGCCCTAAACGGCCTCGGTCCAGTATACCTGAAGGAGCGTCTCCACCCCCATCATTCTGCCCGGACGCTGAGGTCCAGCTCTGAGGGCCTTCTGGCGGTTCCCTCACTGCGAAAGGCCAAGTTACAGGGAACCAGGCAGAGGGCCTTCTCGGTGGTGGCGCCCGCCCTGTGGAACGCCCTCCCATCAGATGTCAAAACGATAAACAACTACCTGACATTCAGAAGACATCTGAAGGCAGCCCTGTTCAGGGAAGTTTTTAATGCATGACATTTTAATGTATTTCTAATCTTTGCTGGAAGCTGCCCAGAGTGGCTGGGGAAACCCAGCCAGATGGGCAGGGTATAAATAAATAAATTATTATTATTATTATTATTATTATTATTATTATTATTACTATTACTATTATTGAAAGGTCAAGTTCTTGCCCAGGCGTAAGGGGAATTAAGGAGCCCCTTCTGCAGAAGGAGGCGCTCAAGGGACCGTCGGTGGGTCAGGCCCCCTCGCAGGTAAACTGCTCTGAGCTTCAGCTTCTAGTTGCAACACCTTGAATTTGACCCAGACTTGCAAGAGCAGCTGATGCGACCGGCAGTGCTTTGGCCCCGTCAGCACCGCAGCTCCACGGCACGAGCGCACTCTTGGGGGGTGGGGTGGTTCCCAACCTCTTTCGCGAATCGAATTATTTTCAGAGTTGCGCCACCCCGGACGGGATTCGAACTCGCAATCCCCGGCGACCCAGAGCGCGTCTAGGGTCTGCGCCTGCGCGCGCGGCGCCGCGTCTCTCTCTCTCTCCCTCCCCCCGCCAGCCTGTCAGTGCGCCTGCGCCGCCGCGCCGCGCCCCCCGAGCGGCGCCTGCGCAGTGCTCCCGCCGGGGTGTGTCCGGCGCCTGCGCGCCGCTGGCGGCGGGTCCCGAAGACAAGATGGCGGCGGCGGCTGCCCGGGCGAGGCGGCGGCGGGAGGGCGGCGCAGAGCGGAGAGGCCCCCAGCAGCCCGGCGCCCCGGCCCCAGGTGAGGGCGGCGCGGCGCGGGCCCGGGAGGCGGCGCGCGGGCGGCGGGGACGGGGGGGCGCGCGCGAGGGGGGGCGGGGGCGCGGCGGGCCAGGGGAGGAGGGGCCGCCCAGGGCGCCGCCGCCGCCATCTTGGAAGGAGACGCGCGCGCGGCCGAGAGGGGCGGGAGCGCGCCTGGGTCTGTGTGCGGCCCCCCCTCCCTTCTGATCCGGGGCGAGGAGCGGCAGCGCCCCCTGGCGGAGGCTCCCCGGCGCCCCGGGCGGAAGAGCGGCGGGGCTGCGGCTCCTCTCGCCGGGCCGGGCCGGGAAGGGAGCGCCCAGGAGCCGCCTCGACGGAGCCGCCGCCTTCCGCCCCGCGGCTCGGCCTCCTCTCCGTGCGCCTCGGCCGCCCTCCTCCGTCCTGCTCGCCTGCCCGCCCGCCCGCCTCTCTCTGGCTGCGGCGCCGCTGGCCGGGCTGCGCTGGGCGGCCCAGCCCCCGATCCACCCTCCCTGGGCCGCCCAGCCAATGGCTCCTCCCCGCCCGCCCGCCCGCCCAGCCCCTCCTTCCCTCCCTCCCTCGCTCGCTCGCTCGCTCGCTCACCGCCGCCTCGTTGCCTTGCAGCCCCGCAGCGCCCCGTCGCCGGCCCAAGGAGGCCCCAAGGAGACCTGGCCCCGGCGCCCCGCACCAGCCGCCGCTAGCCTCCTCCTCCTCCGGCAGCAGCAGCCCAGGATCGTCGCCCTCGCCGCCGCCGCCGCAGCTTCTGGTTCCTGGCGGAGGCCGCCCCCTGTGGGTATCTCCTCCTCCTCCTGATGCTGCTCTGCAGCCCATGGACCTTCCTGGTGCCTCCCAGGCGGCTGCCCTCCCATTAAAACGGGGCGCTGCACCCTCCAGAAGCTCCTCCGGTCTTCTGTTTTTCCTTCTTGCCCTCCGCTGGTGTCGCAAGGAATGGAGGCTTAGATGCCCCACAAGGGGCGGCTGAGCACCACAAGCAGCACTCTCCCCACTTGGGGGATCTCCCCGTAGAGTTCAAAGGCATTTGCTGCCCCCAACTAAAGCCTCTTACAGATTTCCCCCGGTGTACAGAGTCGTCCGACACACAAGTCAAGGTGCCTTTGCTTCTTCTCCCAAGGAATCCTGGGCGCTCCGGTTTGGGAAGGGTGCTGGGAGCTCTGTGTTCAAGGCCCCAGCACCCTTTCCAAACAGCAGTTTTCTCAGTTTCCGGGAGGAATCCTTCTGTATCCCAAATAATTCCTTGGACTGGTCAGGCTCCAAGCTGCTGCTCCCAGTGCCCATTTCCACACTCCAAATGGCTTCTCCACAGAGCAGGAAGCAGGAATGTTTCTCTGCCATTGCCGCTTCTAAGCTGTAAGCTCCTTGGGGGCATGGCCTGGATTTTCAAAACATTTCAGACTCTTACCATACTATGGGCCATGTACAATACCAGGTAGCTGTGCCCTAGTGGCAGTTCGGCCTTGTGAATAAGCCTTCAGAAGTTACGAGCTTTCTAAATAAAGACATTCTGGCTTGCTGGGATGTAGCAGAGGAGGGACTGAGACCTGCATTTCTCTGCTGTGTTTCTGTGCAGGGGGCAGAGGGAGGCTTTCATCCATTAGCAGCCCCCGTGGTTCCTTTGCTGGGCACAAAGGAGGGCTGAGTGCCGGCCTTGCCCCTCTTCAATCGCCACACTCCTTTGCCCACATACAGTTCCTTTTCACCTATGTCTGCCGGGCAAGTTCTTAAATACAGTTATGCTAATCCCTTTGGGGGCTAAAGGAGCAGAGGGGTTCTGGGTGTTCATTGGCATAATTCCCTCTGTATCCTGGGGCCCAGGGGTATAACAGACTTGGGCACAAAGAGTCCTGGCTGGCGGAATATGGTTGGCATTAGATATGTGATCAGACGAAACCTTATTATCTGCTTAGGTAGCCCAAAGGTGTCCTCTGGCCACAGCTCCTGTCACTCCTGACCGTTGGCCTTGCTGCCTGAGGGGTTGGAGTCTGCAGCAGGTTCGCCACCCTGATTCAGCCCTTCATGCACAATGCTCTGTTCTGACTCTTAAACTTGGAGTGAGTTGATGGGAGGGGGCAAACAAGAGAAGATAAGGTCACCAATGGTGCAGATTGCCTGATGAAGCTCCCCACCCCCTCTCCCCGCCCAACACGGGCTTGCCTGTGTCCTAAGTTGAATCATCACCTAACTGCCTGAGCAGGTGTCTTGCGCAACCAAGCAGAGCTATTGAGGTTGCCTGGAGATCTGTAATGGAACTCCTACTCTGTTCTGCTGCAACCAGGCTTCAAGAGCAGGCAAGTTCAATGGGAAGCCCAGCTGGTAGCCATGCTAAGTCATTTTCTTTTGGATACTGTTTGGGCAGCCAAAGCGGGCTCCCTGGGACTCCTGCTCCCTCTCAGACTGAGCCTAGTGTCACACAGGCAAGGCAGATGCAGACAGCCCACCCGCCTGCCCTCGTGCCCTGCAGTGCACACTCTTGCCTTGCAGTGTGCGCACAGTCCGGCTGGTGTTGCTGGAGCATGGCTTAAAACGATCAAAAGCTCTCAAGGCTTCCAAGAGAACTTTTCCCGTGTGCCTCCAGATTGGGTTGGCCCCAGGCCAGGACTCAGCAGAAAGGATTCTGCGGAGAAGATGGTATCTTGGTGATGCCTTAACAATAGGGAAAGGAGTCAGGGTTGGCGTGGCACGCAGGGCTCTGCACCTCCTGCTCCAGCAGGATTCGGCAGCAGAGAGTGAATGGACAGGAGGCGCATCCCCAAGGGAGATGGCCTGGGGAGGGCTGTCTGGCACCCACTTCATTGCGTGGGGCTCTGTGTCCTCCAGCCACCCTCTTGGTTGCTCATCCTGGCTTGTGTGCAAATAGCCAGCCCACAGGCAGGGGGGGTTTGTGGCCTGGAAGCTATAACTAGGGTGTCCCCTCCCCTTTGTGCTAGTTGCCCTATTGGTCATGAATGACCCTGCTGCCCTCCAGATGTACTTCCCATCATCCCCGGCCAACAGCCATATTGGCTGGGGCTGATGGGAGCTGGAGTTCAGCGTCATCCAAAGGACCAGAGTTTAGCTACCTCAGCCTGCAGGGTCTGGGCAAATAAATGCTCTTGTGGGTTTTGTGGTGTTCCTTGTCTTTGGGGTGCATGTGAGGTTTGCCTTTGGACCCCCAAAACTCAGGTGTGCCTGCCTGTTTTGCCAGGCAGGCCAAGAGGGCTGTGCATGCAAGAGCTCTTCTGGTCTGGACTAGTGGCTGTGCGAACAGGGCATTTTGTGACAGCGTTTCCTTCTGTCTCCTCCAGTGCAAATGCTGAGAAATGGCCCATGAGAACCACGGCAGCTCTGGGGAAGAAGCTGCTCTGATGAGCCACTCTCCCAGCACCTCCCACCAGAACCAGCCCAGCTCCCCCAAACCTGTCCGGCAGGTCCAGGATTTGCCAGGTACTTCTTGTGTTTTCGAATTAATTTTCATTCACTTTTTACAATAAAACATAAAAGATACCAATTGCATATCCATATAAAGAGATTCCTTCAAGTCTTGGGACTTCCACCCTCCCCTTCCCTGGATTCCCCATTTGATCATATAACGCTGCATCTTCTCCAAACTCTCTTATATCAATCCATATTTTCCATGATGATTGTTACGCTACAAGTGAAATCAAAATCCTGCCCATGTTTCCATCTGTTTACAGTGGTCTCTGATTTGCCAGGTTCTTGTTGGCTCTTAGGAGAGCCCCGCATGGCACAGGGTTGGGGAGGGGGGCAGAAAGCGGGAAGGAAGCTGCATGTGGGCGCCCAGCCCCCTCTCCCCCAGCCAAGCCTTTCTGACCCATAGCTCTAGGGATGCAGCCTGTGCTGGATGGGGTCGCACTCCCCATTGCGAGGACACAAGTTTGCCGCTTGGGCAGGCTCCAGGATTGAGCCCTCAGGTTTGTGCTGCGGCCAGGAGTGCATGTGCACAGTTGAAGCCAGGCTGCCAGCTGCCCTCGTTCCTTGAGGGCCTGATTCGGCCACCGTGAGACACGCCTTTGTGGCGTCCCTTTTGGATTGCTATAATGCGCTCCGTGTGGGGTTGCCTTTGAAAAGGGCTCAGAAACTTCCAACCGGCTCAAAGAGCTGCAAGCAGATTGCTGGCCAGGGCTGGTTATAGGGAGCAGACGCCTCCCTTGCTAGAGCAGAACCACCGGCCTGTTTCCAGGCACAATTCAAAGTGCTCATTATGACCTATCAAGCCCTGCATGGCTGAGAGACTTTATTCTCCCATATGAACCTGCCTGGGACCCAGGATCTTCAGGAGAGGCCACTTCTCTCCGTCCCCCCTTGGTGGGGACACGGGAGGGGGCCTTCTCCGTGGCGACTGAGCCAAGATTCTGGGACTCCCTCCCGGGAGAAGCCAGACCAGCTCCCTCTTTGCTGTCCCTCTGCTGGAAGGTGAAGACCTTGTTCCAAAAGACTTTGGGGGACTGCCTGCTTTTTAATTAAAGGCCTGGTGCCATGCTGTTTTAATTAAAGGCCTGGTGCTTTTAAACAGATTTCATGTGCATATATAGTTCTATTAACGTTTAATTGTTTTTTATTTATTGCTTTTTTGGTTTTTAGCAATTCTTGTTTTTTTTATCTGTAAGTAGCCTTGAGTCCCGGGGCATAAATGAATATATAACAATAGTGATAACAGCTCTTCTTCTGCTGTCCCTCAGATGAGCTGGTGCAGGCCGGCTGGGAGAAGTGCTGGAGCAAGCGGGAGAGCCGCCCCTACTACTTCAACCGCTTCACCAACCAGTCGCTCTGGGAGATGCCGCTTTTGGGGCAGCACGACGTCATTGTGAGTTGTCTGTCAAGCGGGCGGAGAGGGGAGTCCGCAGCCAGTGGGAGGCCTGGCCGCCTGGAGGCTTTCGAAAAAGGAGAGCTGCCTTCATGGGGCATGGGGGGGGTGGAGGGCTCCTGGTGGCCTAACTCTTCTCTTTCTGGGCTTTCTAGTCTGACCCTCTGGGCTTGAACGCCACCCCGATGCCTGCAGAAGGGGCAGTTGGCGATGCGGCTGCTGCAGCTGCTGCTGCCGCTGCTGCCGCCGCTGCTGCCACTGCTGCCGCCACTTCTGAAAACAAGACGCGAAAGCGGAGACTCTCTGAGGAGGTTCAGCCCAGCGGCAACAGCGTGAAGAAGCCCAAGGTAGGCCTGGTGGGCACCGAAGGCTCCCCAGGTGTGGGAGGAGTTTGCCTTTGGGGAGTCAGTACAGAGGCTTAAAGGAGATTCCCACTTGGCCAGACTTCTCTTCAGAAATCCATCACCGGGCAGAGTCCACAAGGGCCTCCATTAACACACAGCCCGTAAAGGAAAAGGGCATCATCCTGGCTGTTGATACTTCCGGCAGCCCCCTCCTGACACCCCAGGACCTCCCCCCGCCCCCCCATGCAACCTTCGAAGTCCATGGAAACACTTACTCAACCCAAGCTTTTTTGCTGTACATGCAGAGCCCTCCCTGCATCTTATCTGGAGCTGCTTTTCATGCTTCTAACACTCTGCCCTAGGCTCCTCCTAAACCGGTTCTTGCCAGTTTTGTGGCCAGGCCGCACTTCTGCCTTCCTGATAATGGGTTTGGCAGAATTTCCACACCAGTCAAACTGAAGCTTGAACGGCGTTTCTCCCCTAGGTGGCAGGCAGGGCTGCTTCTGTTTCTTGCAGAAACTTCTGGAGAAACTTTCTTGCAGAAACTTGCAGAGCCTTTCAGAGCAGAGGGAACCAGGTCAAATGGGTGTGGCATGTTCCCCGGAAACTGGGGCTGGCTGGCTGGCTGTTCAACTTCTTGGCAGGAAGCAGCTGTCTGCAGACAC